AGAGTTCCTGGCCTCTTCAAAATTGGTAATTGCCAGCTGATAGGGAGATTAACTATCCTCAAGGCTTCTGTGCAGCCTAGTTACACACTACTCAGTCTTAAGCAATTAGAGCTGTTCCTGTTTCACACTCTTAATAGAGCTTGTTGTCAGGCATGATTCCAATCATCTCAGTGCTCAGCTCCTGTCTCTGATAGCATTTGCCACACATCACTGACAATTTTGCAGTTATCAGTATCAAGGCATCCAAAGATCACTGGCACTGAGACACAAGGAAGACATCATCTCCACACCTTTTCCGGGGTTGTAAATGTGAATTAGCTCTGTTCACTTAACCTCACTCCTGCACACAGACTTACCAAGAGGACCAGCAGCTTGTACGAGGGTGGTAACAGCCACCCACGGCAGAGGGGAAGCTGTGCTGTACTTTGGCCCATGCAGAACTCTTCTAGATACTGCAGAAACATCCCCTTAACAGGATCCATTTAGAAAAAACATATATTAAGACTTGCCTGAGAAAATCTTTGTTGCAGCTTTGGGCTTTCCCATGTCAGAATTCAGGAAGGGCTAAGCTGAGCCTTGCCCTTTCCTCACACAGCCTCAGCTGCAATCACCTTCCTCAAACTCAGCTCTTACTTAGGTAATCATTTCCACAGGTCATTTGCTCATCTTCCACTTGAGACCCCTTCAGAAAGGTAAGTACACCAGCACTGCAGCTTCTGCCTTTTGTTCTGTCCCATCCTCACTCCTGCAGCCTGTCCTGCTTAGCCAGAGTTAGGCTAGGGATTACCTTGAGGGGTTTTACACCTTCCTACACAAACCAGCTTAGCTGCTCAGCAGCTGGCTCAAGGCTGACAGCAGCAGTTTTTTGGGTATTCTGAATTAGATTGAGCTTCACTTTGCTGGCAGGACATAATTCAAAAAGCAGAGGCGGGACAGCAGCTGCCTCTTGTCTGCAGCACTGAATTACTCTTCAACTGTTCCTGAGGAGATGAAGACATCAAGGCAGAGAAATCATGGCAGAGGAGAGAGGCAGAGCTAATCCATGCACAGGGTGCTGGACCAGTCTGTCCTGTAGCTGCTCCAGAGGCCAGGAGTGTCTGCTCTCCATATCCAGGAGGAAAAAGGTCCCCTGAGAGCTGCCAAAAGTGTGGAACAAGCAGCCTCAGACTGCCCTGATCCTCATCCCCAGCACTGCAGCATCCTGCCATGCTCTGAAAGCCACAAGGCAAAACTGCTTCAGAGATGGGCAACTTCATCAAGCAAGTCTGGAGGGGAAGGAAGTCTCCTGAACAGCTGTGGTGTGACCTGGCCACCCCAGGGAGGGGACAGGGCTTGGCCCAGTGGTGCTCAGAGTCTGGGACAAGTGTGGATACACTTTGTGGGCTCTGAGGTACCAAACACCTCATAAAGTCAAAGGCACTCAGATCCCTTCCCTGTTGCAGAGGATTTTGCCTTTGGATCCCAGCAGTAAGCCCAGCTTCCTGATGGTTGATGGGGACCTTTTATGATTAAACATATTCCTCCACCATGCTGCTAAAACCAGGTTTCCCCCTTGTCATGCCCTGATTCAGAGTCACAGGACAAAGGGACTTGCAACCCTCTAACAATGGAGCACACAGGAGATCTGACATCCACCTCATTCCAAAAAGCATCAGCCCTTTCCTATTCCTGCCTGAAACATAACACACAGCACAGGGATTTCAAGAACATGTTTAATGATGGCAGTTTCTACTGAAACACGTGAAGTCCATTCAAACACAACCAATTTTTTCCTTAAAAAGAAGCTTTGGTCACAATGACAAATTCTTTTTTAAAAAACTACAAAGCAATTGCACAAAACTGAACACATGGTCCTGATACCTCCTCACACACAAACTGCAGCAGCAGAAACTCATCTAACAAGGAAAAAATCTTTAACAAAAACCACAGCCCTCCACCCTGCAGAGATTATACCATGTACATGGAATTAGAGGGAAGAGTTATGAACGAAATGTTTGGCTTAATTAGTGTCCATGTGTTCAAGCTTCATTAGTGCCCGTAGACTGTTACAAGTAAGTTTGGTCTTAAGATAAACACCAGGGGATCACAGAGTCAGTGTGCTAAACAAGTGTTTGCAGTCATCTCTGCAGCTTCCAGGGAACAAAAGGGGGGAAAATGCAAATACAAAGCTATCTGTGTACTTAGTTCTGCAGGTAAGCATGGCACACTGGCTTCTCAAGTGTAATCTCTGGTGACAGGGCTGTGGCTGGAGCAAAGCAGCTGCAATTCTGTGCAGGGTTTTCCCTCCACATGCACAAAGAGAAAAGCCTCTGACTCACATACTTGGTTTGCCTCAGCCAGGAGTTGGAGGATTCTGTAAGCAGTAAGAGAGCTACAGACAAGACAGCTGTAATAACATTTCTGTTTTCATTTTCTGTAACAAAAAAATATGCCTTTTAAAATGCTCTTGAACAAAGCAGGTTTGACTATGCAACACAAAATAGCAGCAGATACTAAGACACGTTACAGTCACAATCAGATTAAATCTGCAGTGTAAGATACACAGAACATTAAGGTAAAAAACTCATGTAGTGGTTAATGGCTATTTCTTCTCTGATGAACTCCTAGAACTACCTGAACCAAACAGTTAAAATTATTAAAACTATGTTTTAAACTGATTTCTACAATTAAAAAAATATTCATATATATACTATTAGATGAGTCACGTCAAGTGCTCTTAAAATCTTAACTAAATATAGCTATAGAATATTTAACCAGACACTTTAAATCACATACAGCAAGTTTTGTAGAGGTAAACATTGCCTCACATTTGCAACAGCAACTGAGTATCAGACAAAGCATCTGGATTATTTTCATGACTGTGAGCAACTGGTCAGGTTGACCTTTTATCTCCACCAAGCAGCTGCTGCTTCCCTACAAGCACTTTTTAGCTTATGGCACACAGTTTGGGACTTCCTCAAGGAGCCAGGAAATCCCAGCTGCTGTTGAGCACCTCCATCTTCAAAATCTTAAAATACCTGATCCCTGTCCACCATTGAGATTTGGCCATGTTGTGAAAACAGTGGGATATTTTTGGTTTTTTTAAGCTACAAGCAAGGGGAGCAGAGGGCCTTTGCCAGCCTAACTCAGCAAGTGACCTGAAGCTGCTGGAAAAACTGATTTCAAGAACCACCTTGCTCAGAAGGCAGAAGTGCCCTTCATGCTTATTTTCTTCTCATCTCTGTCCTACATAACTTGGTCTTGCCTTTCTTTTGTGCAAAGAGATGGTTTCATTCCCTGTCTCCACTCTGAGAGTGCCTGATGCTCAGCTTAATGAGTGTGGCAGGAGAGTGGGCATGAACATGTTGCCATGGTGCCTGCACAGACAGGGCAGCCAGCTCATCCCATCCCCTCCTTCCCCAAATGCCAACAGAAGCTTTTAACCTCCCTCTCTCCTCTCAGCATTGCCACTTCTCTGACTTCAAAAGGGCTTGCTCTGCCCACAAAGTTCAATTGCCAGCCTTCACTCTTGCAGCCCTGAATAAACTCAGTATTTCCTTCTGGAGCATCCAGCCTAGAGCCTGAAACCTGTTTTACTGAGGTGAGGAAAGAGCTCCAGACCTCACCTGAACCTGCAGCATCGTTCCACTCTCTGCTCCCTGTGGTTCCTGCCAGCCAGAACAACCTGCCCAGCCCATCCTCACCTCACAGCTGACATGTCAAATATTGCTTGGTAACAGAGGCACAGAATGACTCAAACTATTCCATGAATGAAAATAACAGAGCATTTTATAGTGCCTTGATGACTAATATTAACACAACAGTCTGCTTTGGGATTTTTCCATCCAGGCTGAGTTGGCTGTCTGCAAAGCCTTTGCTGAGTCACAGCTAGGGGAAAGCAAGCTGTGGTATGGCAGCTGCTGGGATGAATGCACAAGGCTGCTGGAAAGGAAGAAAAATTCCCCTTCACCTCTTTTTACTGACTGAAGGGCCAAGGGGAACCACACAGAACTGGCGCAGGTCGTGGTATCATGACAAAGCAGTTTGGTTTCTCAACAAGCCTCAAATCTCAACAGGGCTTTAAAAAACAGATAAAAATCCCAAAAGTGGCAGCCTGCTGCAAGGCTGGTGCTTTGCCAGAAACTGCAGTCTCCTTGAGGGATTGCAACTGCAAGGCTGGGAGAGGGTCAAGCAAACAGTGGGACAATCCTAAAACAATTGGAAAATATGAATTCTCCAAGAAAAGCAAGGTTTCAGCCAGCTTAAAAACCCTAAAAACCCAAAATAGAAGGTGTTAAGGAGTGCAGTAAACAGTAAAATCTGAACTTCATCTGTGGTTACTCTAAAGGAAAACCACAAAGTGAAGAAAGTAACCCAGTTAGGTTTGCCCTTTCTACCGTTGGCCTGGAATGCCTGGATGCCTGTGGTCTCCCAAACCCAACCTTTCCAGATGCTGCAATCCAATTCCCACAGTGTCATCCCACAGCTCTGACCTCTGCAGCACAAAGCACAGCTGGGAACAACAGCTAAAAATTGTCCTTGAGTTAAATGAGCTTTGTCAAGCAGGTAGTAAAGGAAAATTTCCAGTTTGACAGAATAGGATCATTTACATGAAGCTTCCATGAAAAATAAGACATGTTCTCTCTGCAATCCAATCATTCCACATGAGGACTTACTTTGCTTAGAAAAAGGTAATGAATTGTAGACAAGTTACAGTCAGCACAGGACAGTACAAAACACTGGTTTTACTCCCAGTGGAAGGGCAGAAAATTACAAAAATATATCTTCTTTAATCCAAGATTGTTGTAGTTTAGAGCATGCCTGATTCTTCCTATTTCCCTGTGGTCTCACTTACTGAAGTTGATCTGATCAGAGCTCCTTGGGACAATGAGAGTGTCATCATGAAAACTTAGTGCAATTGTTGTTTAAAAAAAAAATCAGTAGCAAGTCAAGAAAATTTCCTACATGAGTCAACCTCCCAACCCCCTCCCACCCAAACCCTACACCCAACATAGTGTGGCATTTCAGCATGGCTTACATTTTTACCATCTTAAGTCCTAAGTCACCTCTGTAAGGCCCAAAAATACTTCTTGATTTTTTTTTAAACACATGATCCGTTTAACAATGACTGAAGTTTAACAGTGACTGGAGTGTTGAGTTAGGATTTTAGAAAAGAAGTCCTTGGGGCAGCTTGTCTTCCTTGTCTTCCTCCTTCTGCAAAACTTATTTAGAGTGTAAGGAGCTGCACCTTGCAATGCTTTGGTGACACTGCAGCCCTCCTAAAGCAAGAGAGCCCAGTTTGCAAAGAGGAACTCTGGTCATTCCAACACAGGAGCTGGGACACCAGGGAACCAAATGGTGCTGTTTGAGTCAGAAGATCCACAGCCTGCTGTACAAACAGCACCTCGAGGAGGTGCAGAGATGAAAGCCTCCCCTTCCTTTCACAGTTATGGGTTCAGCAGGTCCCTCGACAGCAGAGTGACGTCTGGCAGGGCACTGATGCTCCACGGAGCTGCTTTACCTGGAAAGCAGAAGAATTAATACAGCTGGAGATTTGCAATTCAAATTACTCACAGGCAGAGATGAGAACCCACGTGTGAAGTGGAGAAAAAAAAATCCCAGCGGCCACAAAGGAAAAGGCAGCATCATTCACTGGGATTGCCACTGATCCCAGCAGTTTGTGTATCTGGTGGCAGTGATGGGATCTTAGTGCCATGCCAGAGAAGAGATACCAAGGCAAGACAAAAGCAGAGTTAGATGAGGGAAAGGCCAGATGCTGGAAGATCCTGTGGCCAGTCCCTGTGCAGAGCAGAGAAGGGAATGTGCACATGAAACCACATTCTGCACCTCACAGCTTTTACACACCAGTGCACCCCTTACCCATCAACACACATGGACCATCCTCCTTGGACGTTCCTCCTGACATCCTAGCTGCTTCAGGGTTCAAAAGAAATCTTAACAGGAACCTGTTACACTGCAGGAATAAGGCAAGAGCCCTCCCATAGGACTGCAAGAGCAGCAGAACATGGTGTGCTCTGCAACAACTGTCAAATAGCATCAGGAAAGAACTGGCCTTCAAAACCCAGCAAAAATTGCATTTTGACTATCGCTTTTTCTCCCCTGCTGTGGACCTATGGGAAATCCTTGACAGCAGCACCAAAGCTTTGGCAATTTGTTGTATTTATAGTGAGCTGCTGCCTGTGTTGGTGATTTGCACCCCCTTCAGATGAGGATAAATGATACCCCTCCATTTACACACAACTTGTCACTGCTGCCTGCTAGGGAAAAAAAAAATAAGCTGCTATAAACCCCAGTACAATTCACCTGGCATCATCCAGAATTGCCTGCAGCTTTCACTGGAAAAAAATCCATTAGAGCTGCTCCCTTGAGAGTGAACACCTCACAGTAACAAACGGAACAATCCCATGCTCCATTCAGAGCTGCACACGCAGCCAGGATCTGGAAAGGATGTAGTCCTAGAGAAGGCACCAGGAGTGTAACCCATATTTTACAGAGACTCCCAAGACTTGGGTACATCAAAGGCTGAGCCCTGCAACTGTGCTGAAGATGTTTCTCTACAGTTCAAGGCTATCAGTGCCTGGAAAAGGGATGAATCCAGGATCCAGCCCTTACATGTGGTGTATCTTTCCTCTAAAACATCCTGCAAGCTCTCAAAAGCCCTTTAGACCCACAATGGTAGAATAAATATTCCTGTCCTCTTCCCTCAGCCTGCCACTTCTCCTTACACATAAATCCTTCTCCTTTCAAGAGCACTTTGGAAGATGCATTCCTAAACCACTTCTGCGTTCTGCCAGCGCTGCTGCTGCTATTAGAGGAAAAATGACAATCCACAGGGAAAATAAACTGAGGAATTTTACTCAGCCAACAGGAAGGATAGAGGCTTCAATCTGCCCCAAGAAAAACTTTCTATCAGTATTTATTTAGGAGCCTGACACCAGGACTGGCATTTAAATTCCAGGTTCTTTCCCCAGCTCGGGGCTGTCACAGGGCACATGTGGCCCTGGACAGTTGTGAAATTCCCCCAGCTGGGCCCAGCAAGCAAAGCAGGAGCAGAACTCAGGAGCAGAACTCGCTGCCTCCAACAGCTGCAAATCAGCAGGGAGAGGAGCCACTGCTGATATCCCAGATTACTGAAGTGCTTTCAAAGCCTTTCATGTGCAAGGCACCACGGAATTTATTCAGAACCTGTTTTCAGTTTCCTATTGAAGCTGACAAGAAATCCCCCAATGAGCCTCGCTAGAGTTAATAAGCTTAACAAGCTAACAATTTTATTTACCTTTTCAGAAACGGGTTCTTTTTGCAGCTGTTTTAATCTCTTTCCTCTTATTACACAAAATAAGCAGAGTGCTCTGTGGTGGGGGATGGACACCAGTTTGTTGGGGATGTTTGCCTGTAACCTACTTTACTTCACTGCTCTCTGCTCAAGTATCCCTGAGTGCCAAATCCCTGATGACTTGATGGCTTAGCTCCATCACAGAGATCACAGAACCCGGGCAAATTCCCTCTGCCTTCCTGAAAGAAAGAGCTAAAGGAGCAAAGAGGAGAGGGAAATCTTCAAATCAAAATCTATTTGTAGGATGAGAAAAAGCACATATGGAGAGTGGGATCTAGCTTTCCACTAACTCATTTTTGAAGATGTGCAGCAAATCCCATCATAAAACTTGAAAAACTACCTGACATCTGGGAAATGATGACCAATATAGTTCATATGATCCAGGAATCAACTGGACAAGAATACTTTTTGGCCTTCAGCACAGACTGGATCGATGATCAAGAAGCAAACACTCTTTCCATTGCTCTGTTTGCTTTCCTTGTGTAGCTTTATAGCAATTTCAGAACAATTCCTGAGCTATTTATTCAAATGCCTCTCTCAACAGCAGAGCAAATATATATAGAGAAACACACATATTAAAACAGTGGTTTCCACAAAGCTTTTTAAGGAGGTATCAATGTCCAAGTGATCTGGCACTTTTACTCTGTGACAATCTTTGTTTCATACTTTCCACCTCTTTTCACACAGAAATGGTGCCTGCAGGATTAGAGGCCATTGACAGAGCTGCTTCCCTGCTACTGGAATGAGGTTGCAAAGAGGGGATCTGATCCAGCACACATTTGACAGAGGCAGCAGTGAGTGGCTTTTGCATCCACAGAAAGGGCTCTGTTTGGGTAAGATTTTGAAGTGGTCTCATTAGTCTGCCTTACTGGAGAAAGGTGGTTATTTCTTGTTGCTCCACTGCCCAGGGGAAGCCGGGGGGGGAACTACTGGGAAGCCTAAAACTTTAAAGCCTCCTGGAAAAAAAATGGAAAAAAATAGCAACGACCTTCATCCAACAGCCCAATTTACACTGTCTGCTGTTCTTTGATGCCTCGTGTAAGACTGGAAACGAATCTGCACAAGGACAGAGCATTAAAGGAAAGAAAATTAACTGCACAAGAACCAATTGGAGAGGTAAATGTCGCTTCTCCCCTGTTGCTGCTCCATACCAACTGCCTTTTAATTAGAGAGCTGTTTGCATTACATGGGGAGAGAGCTCAGAATCTCAATTACTCCCCCAAAGTGCCCCCCCACTCCGTGCAAGTGCCAGCACGGATCTTTCAGCAATGGGAGGGGATCTCAAATAAATCAGCTCAGAGCCTCCCACACTATGAATACCAACCTGGGGGGCAGGGGAGGACTGAGGCAGAGATACCAAGAGAAGACCTGTTAGAAGTTTGTCCCCTGACTCCCTGTGGGCAAGTCTGAGCTGTTCTTTCTGCAGCTCTATCCCTCTCTTCCCATCTGAACACAAGCACCTATGAAAAAAGTCCTGAATAGTTCAATGGTCAATCTCAGCAACTCAAATTTGCCAAGGAGTCTCTTTACTGGTGACAGGATTTGTGAACTGTGTGGGATATACTCTCCAAGCTGCACAAAGGAACCAGAGAGCTTGACACCTTCCACAGCAAATGTATCCTCAAAGAAGCTTTCCCAAAACCAGCACTGCTAAGGGGCTGTCTGTAAGATGATCTTCCCCTCCAAAATGAGCAGCTCTGTTTAAGCTAAACAAAAGTATGCCTGAAACAGCAAGGACTGCAGAAAATGTGCAATCTAATGGCTGTTGCACTGTGGCAGAAAGGAGGAATTCCCACAGCTGAAAAGAGGACTGGCTGGCCAAGAACAGGGACCCAGGATGAGCTGATACCTTCAGTGACAGCAGCAGAGTTCCTGCTCCAGGGAAGCAACATCAGATAACACAAACACAGCTCTCAAGAGACAAATGGTCTCCAGCAATCTCTCTTTGTTCATCCACTATTTCACTTTTAAACATCTTGTCCTGAAGCACTGCCATGATTGAGATTATTCTGTTCTCACTCTTTGGGGAAAAAACCATCAGATCCCATTTCCAAAAGTTCACAGAGAAAGTATGGAGTTAAAAGGAAAAGGGTGGGACATGGGAGCTGTTTAAACAGTCATGGCAACTCAGATCTCTGCACTCTGGGTTTAACAAAGCTTCATCCCAAAGTACAAACTGCACAAGCTGAAATTATTAGAGCAAACCCAGGACAGCTCTAGGGAATGGCAAAAGTCAGGTAAGGACTGATAGGAGTCTTCTAAATCAAGAACTAATTGTTTACACTAAGGCTTGACTCACACCCTTCATTGTTTCATGGCTCTCAACTATTTCCTGATTTTTAGAGAGAACTAATGCAGTGATCTGGGAAACAAGCAGTGGAGCATATGGTGGGGTGTGGTTCAGATGTTGGCACACATGTGCTCAGAGCAGATGCGGTGTTCCCCCTTTTCCAAAGTTAGGAGATGGGCACTGAGTAAAGTCTGTAAAATCACCAGTTAGAAGTTGTCAAGATCTACATTTTTATAACTAGGAGAGCTTATTTCAGCCAAAGTAGGACAGATTTTAGAGTAGGCCTTATTTGGATGAGAACACAACTTGAATAGTGTGGATGGCTTGATGCAAACAAAAATAAAAGATGCAGATACCCTGATGCCATAAATCAAGAAGCAGCATCTTTATGTGCTGAGTTGTTGCCATAAATCTTCAGGCCCAGAATAGGCAGCAGAACTTTGGGGTTGTCACACCACTTCCATCTCAAGAAGACAAACATATTTAAGGAAAGTTTGTTGCTAAGGGGTAACTGCTAACAGCATCAGTGAGGGCCCACAGTCCTCTGTGTCACAGACAACACAGGAGCACTCTGGTACAAATCTTGTGGAGATTCATTCTGATTTCCCTCCCAGGCTCACAGCCTGGGAAAGAAGCCCTGGATGCACGACCCTTGATCCACAGCCCTCCATCCAGTGTGAGCACACAGGAACGACTGCCAGCAGCTGCCCGAGAGGGGAAGCTCAGTCTGTCAAACCCTGTCAGCTATCTGGGACACGTGTACCCCGTTGTGCTGCTCTGCAGGGGAAAGAGGAGTGCAGACAGCCTGGGGCAGGGTTATTGCAGGAGCAGGGGAGGACAGAGCTGTGTGCACTGGGAATAGGCAGAGGAGTGTAAAGGAAAGGGATAATGCTTGGGCAAAGAGGGAGACAGTGACTGCCTCATCCCTGCCAAGTTAGCCCAGCAGAGAAATAAAAGAGCTGTTTTCACTAACAAGTGCTCAGTGAGCAAGTCTAACTGGATGGATGGCAGCAGTACCTGTATTTCACATCAAACACTGTTGAGTCTTCGTCCTCATCGTCTTCTTCGTTCAGAGGAGCCATTTCCACCCTCTCGGCTGGGGTGGTGATTATGTCGTACTTCCTGGTCTTCTTAATCCTCTTGCCAGACCTGAAACAGAGGTGGGAAACACTCTGTATAAAATGCCTTTATACAGCATTCCTTGGAGAGGCTGAAGCTGCTCCCAGCAGCTCTAACCCTGCTGGATTCAGACCCCCTAACAGGAAGGGTTGCAGAACCAGCCTCTGTCTCCTCCTGCTGCCTTCCCAAGGCCACTCTTGGTGCCTGTGTGTGGAGCAGTTCCTCGCCAGCTGCAATCCAGGTCAGTGTCAGCCTTTCCACTGCTGACAAACCAGAGATGCTCTGGCACCCACGGCAGGCACACGAATGCTGCAGCCACCACGTGCTCCTGCTGCCACACTCAATAAGTGAGACATGGGCTTAATCAGCTGAAGCAGCCACAGGTTTAGTGAACATGTTCAGATGAGAAAGCACAGGTTAAGCCCTGCTGAGCCAGGGAATGTTCTAGGCAGGATTAGGAGCAAGGAGGTGATGCTGTCTGGGTACAAAATTGCCTGCTTTCCTTGCAGTCAGGCCAAGCTCAGGACTCTCACAGCAACAACCCTGGGTCTCACCTGAAGCAGTTTCAGGCTCCATCTGTGCAGGTGCTATGAAAAATAACCAACCACTGTTCAAAGCTAACTGTACCTACCACCTCCCACAGATGCCAGCCTTACCTTCCTTTGTAAATGGAGATACTCACACACCTGCACATCCCATGGTTTTGACAGATCCATTTTCTAACACTTACTTTCAATTAATAAACACTTTGTGTGTGGCTTTTCAACTTATTCTCTGCCTCCAGCTTGAATTGTGTGGGTCCTTTTTATTTACTTCACCTACTGTTTTCATGTATAGTAGGAAGGTCACACTGCTCATGCATGAATGCATTTTTGTGATTATACATTCAGGAACATGTTGATGTGTACTCGGCCAGCCTTCAGGGAGAAAAGTGGATGGTTTTGGTTAACAAAATGCAGAACTTTCCCTTACACCTCTTAGCAAACAAAACTGCTACCTGCCAAGCATGACAAGGGAGCTGGTGCAGGCACAAGCAAGCAGCCCAGCAGAGTTTTGGTCATCACAGCTAGTGCTCTGAGCACATCCCAATTGCACTTTCACCATCAAGAAGCCTTGTCCTGGCACATCATGCAAGGTGTGCCAGATTCAAAAGCACAGCTTTTGCCTCGAGAAGTCTTTAAAACAGTTACACAGCAACAGGAACTGGGGTATGAGCACTGCAGAGACACTGGGACTCCAGCCCTGAGTGTGCATCTCCACCACAGTGGTCCCTTCTAAGCTTAAAGTTGAGGAAATTTAAATCAGCGACCAGCTCTGATGTGGAAATCTCAGTACCTCTGCCAAAGCACTGCTTTTGGGCAGTAGTCCAAGGCTGAACAAACAGGTCCCAGCCCTTGGGATGAAGCAGTTTGCATTTCCTCCCTGTTCTAAAGGCTGGGGTTGCATCAGGAGTGAGGAGAAAGTCACCTCCTGGTCTAATCTTTAGAGCTATCTGTGCTGCTGTGTCACGCAGAGCACAGGGTGGTTTGCTCTTTTACTGCTGTTGTTGAAACAAGTGATTTTATATCCAGTACAGGAGGACTCTTAACCCAAACACTTCAAAATCCTTTTGAAACCACTTCTCTGTTACTTTGCTTCCCTGCTAAAAACTAGTAGCAAAGTGATGGAGGGAGGTCTCCTCTTGCAAGTAAAACATTGTTTTTACATGAAATATTTACTCATGCTGGGAAGCCTAAACATAGACCAAGACTAACCTGTCAGAACTAACCAAGCACAGCCTTACCACTTTGCACTCACATACAGGCTACAGGGGGTTTCCATGGCTTCCATTTAAGATCCTACCCAAGTATCAGGCCCACTTTACAGAGACCCTTCCTCTCTTATTCCTTCCCATCAGAAAATGTAACTTGTTCCCCAGAGTTCATCATAAAACTGTTAATAATGTAGTGGTTGAAGAAATTACTGCAGAACAGATATTTTTAGAAATGGGAAACTAGAATCCTTTTGCCTCCAGCCATTAATTAGTCTATTTGGGCTACATTTTTAAGAGGACCTGGAGCAGAACTCACTGTACAGTGACCTATTAATCCCCACAACCTCATTTAATGACGGTGCTCATCTAGGATAGGAAGGAAGCTCATTTTGCTGCTGGTTTTTGGCTAAGCTGCTACAACCAGTTGTTTGCCATTGATAAGGCAAAAAGGTCTTTCCCTCCCACCCTTTTCTCAATCCATTCCACCCCAGATTATCTAGGTAATTTGTCATTAATCTGCTTTCCAGAAGTCAGTTTTCTCATTTGCTCATTTGCACAACTCCCCCAGGCTTCATAAATACCAGAATTACCCGAGCTAACTTTGCAGGAAAGCCTTGGGAGTTTCCCTACATGCCTGTCAGGAAACTGTTTCACATTAAAACTCCTGAACCTCAGTGGGATCCCTGTAACCATCAGCAATGACAGCACAAAAAGGAAAAGCACTTTATTCAGCAGGTGGGATGAGGCAGCAGAGCAGCACAGGGCAGGAACTATAGAACACAAATGTTTCGTGAACTTTGGAGACCTCCTGGACAGGATCAGGACACATTAGACCTCTTGGGCAAACAGAGCATCTCCTTTCCAGCCACATTCATTTTGTGGGGTTTTTCTAAAAGCAAACAAGAAGCATGCTGGAAGCTGTGGGCAGAGTGTGGCCCTTGCACAATGACAATGCACTCCCCAGGGTAGAAGTGGTTCTGAGTAGTTTAGCACAGAAAACCATCTTCCACTTAAAAAAATGCTGTTGCTTCTGCTGATTCAGCCACCCCCCATAATTAGGAGGGAGTGCTACAGGTCTTGCCCAGAATTATGAGGAAAAAAGAAAATCCAGGCTAACTGGGGGGATATGAACCTTTCACTGCAGACCCAGCGCTGAGGCACCACACCAGGGTCTGCCTGCTCCATCTCACATCCCTCTCCAGACAGCAGGGAATGACACACAGAGAGCAGAACGCTGCCTTTGTGGCTGTACTTTGACCAGAGGCTATTTTGATCAAGCACCAGTCATATGCAGCACTTCATCCTCCTTTCTGAGGCATCATGTGGTGGGGTAAGTGCTCAAATCAACTCACTGGTTCTTTGTATTATTTACGCCTCTAATCTATTTTAGTCCACAACCCTGACATTCAAAGATTATTCTTTTCCTGACCCAGAGAGAGAGAGGTCTCCGCATTTTTTACCTCCTGCTAAGAGATGTAGAGGGAAGGGACCATCCCCTGGAAAGGAAAAATAAAAAAAAAAAACAACAAAAACCCCCAAACTCAAAAAAAACCCTTATCCCTTCTAAGTAAAGTGCTTACTGGAAGTCTGATTAAGCCAGTCCCTCCTAGAACTGCAGCAATGTTCTATGCAGAATGGAATCAGGACCAGTTTATTTCCTGTTAATGAACTCCCTTAGCAGTTAAAAAAACAAAAAAAAAGGGACTAAAAACCTCAGGAAACTCCAGGCTTCCTACCAGCTGATGAATTAGATCAGCAATATTCCATTCCTGTTGATCTCTCTGGGTATCTCTGCTCTCTGGATGCTGCTGTGTACAACAAAGTTGAAGCACTAAGCCAAGTGCTCATGTGTTTTCTGGAGATGGGACATGTAGTGACAGGCCAGGGAGGAATGGCTTCCAACTAAAAGACAGCAGGTCTAAATTAGATATTAGGAAGAAATTCTTTACTGTGAGGGTGGTGGTGAGCCCTGGCACAGGCTGCCAAGAAAATCTGTGGCTGCCCCAACCCTGGAAGTGTTCAAGGCCAGGTTGGATGGGGCTTGGAGCAACCTGGTCTAGTGGAAAGTGTCCCTGCCCATGCAGGGGGGTTGAAATGAGGCAAACTTTGAGGTCCCTTCCAACCCCAACTGCGATTCCATGATCAATGCTGCCGCCTGCCCATGGCTTTCAACATAGGTCACACATATATATATTTTAAGGTTGGATATTTGGTTGATTTTGGGGTTTTTTTCCTCTCCATTTAATATAATTTGAGTTTTTCTTCCCTGTTGCTGGCAGGAACATAAAGCCTTGTCTTTGCTGGAGTACTGTAACTGGCTATAATACAATTAGTTTTAAATCAGTAAAACTCTCTGGGGTTAAGCCTTGGATGGCCTGGAGCAACTGTCCAGCTCATAGAACAAAGGGTCCTGTATCTTATGGTCATATGCTTGAACCTCTCTCCTCAATCTCATTTATACCACTTTTGCTGTTAGTGGAAAACTAAGCTTAAAGTGGTATTTGATGAAGAAATCAAAATTGAACAAGAAGAAAAAAAACAATACAACGAGATGCAAAAGAAGCAGTTTTTCTCTAAAAATCTAGATATACAGCAGCCTTTCCAGCCTGGATTCTGTTTGTTCAAGGGCAGGTTAAGACATGATGCAAACACTTACAGAGCAGAGTTTTCTGCAACTAAAACTTTGGGTTGCTCTCAGCTGGCCCATTGGAGCAAAAGTAACTTATCAGATTTCCCTAGAATGCACATGGTCCACCAGCACAGTTGGCCACATCTGAAAAATTCTGTTTCCTGTGAGCTGATCCCAAAAATTGCATTGCAATGGAATGAACTGAGCTGCACCAGGGGAGAGAAACAGGGCAGAACATGGAGGTAAAAAGGCAAGATCCAGAACTCAGATCTAAGAGTGAGTTTAGGCACACACAATCTGTTGCAGACACTGTGTTTCTCGGTAATGCAAACTACCCAACTATTTGCTTGAGAATAACATGGAATTTGGTTTGTTGTGGAAATGGTTTTGGGTTGGGAGCATGCAGAGCCCACGGGTGTAGGAAAGAAAGCAAACCCAGGACTGAGCTTGCAAAAAAGAATAAATAAATAAATACTATAGCAAATTAGAGCTTGCCACATGCAGACAAATAGCAAAGTCTTGGCTGGCCTTCACAGACCCCAGCAGCCACAGAGAGAAAGGAAATTCAGACCACTTCGGGTGACACCACATTCTGAACCACACAACCATCAGATGAACTCAGAGCACAACATTTCCAAAAGGAATGAAAAGGAATCTCTGAGTGCTGCCTTAAGAACTGAGCTGAAAGCAGGATAAATACATCTATTCCTACTCAAACAAAAAAGGGCAATAATATCAACAGAAAAATATGTAAAAATGAGATGTATATAAAAAATAAAATGCATAAAATATTAATCCGATGCCTGTGACGAGTATCTGGCCAATGAGTGGTTTATTTCATCTCTACAACTTATATAAAAGTATAATTGACTTCCAGCAATACAGAATAATTTCAAAGTGAAAGTTTAAGCAAAGACTGGATTTCAGCAAAATCTCTTTAATAGGAATCCATGACTCTTCAGAAAAAAAAAAACACAATGTTTTTGACTAAGTGTGAACAAAGCTTGTATTCTGATGGAGAAAAGCTTTACATTTATTGAGGGTAAATCCCTTATCTCTTCTGCAACAGAATCTCCACTGATCTGTGTTGTCAGCTACAAGTGTGACGCTGTACAAACATACCTGTTGGTATTCTTGTCTCGTTTGCAACTGGGATAAGTGTTTACAAACAAGTGCTCTGTCAGATAAAGAAACATACTCAGAAGCCAATAGCTTCATTTTCCACTTCCCCAGCAGGCTCTACCAAAGATACACATGACATCTCAGAGGGTGTTTAACATATCTTTAATGCTGCATTAACTCTGATCAGCTGTATAATGACGACTCTGGCATGGGAGAATAAATCCATCTTTCCCAAGGTGACTTTAACTTGGACCTGTTTTTGCTGATAATGGTATAGGGAAGGCCTTTAAAGGTTATCAGTTTGGCTTCTTTGGCTACCAATATTCAGCCAGGTCTCCTTGACACAAGATATTGCTTTATACTCAGAAGAAACTATGGCAAAGAAAAAAAACTCTCTAAGATCATGCACAACTAGGAGTGGAAACTTAGTGCAGAATGAAAAGCCTTAGTTATAGACTTCCTAATTCTAGCTCATATAATCTCTACCAATTCTGCTGTTTGTATGTGACAACTCTGTACAGCTGCAAAGCAGACATATTGATAAAAAAAAACCAAAAAAACACCTCTTCAACATTTTATTGGGCTCTCCCAAACCACATCACTTTATGAGCACATTTATTTGCATTGCATGCGCCAGCTGCTGCAGACACTTAAGCAGAATACAGTTAAATGTCAATTTCTTCAGAAAGTACCAGCCCTGATCATTTCAGTTTATAGACCACACTTTGGAATACTATCACCGTGAACGCTGCCCTTCCTGCACGGAATGAGCTCAAAGTAGGAGAGGCAGAGCACTCAGCCATGCACAAAGGAGCTGCCTGAAGACAGAACAAGGAAGAATGCGCCAACTCCACTTGTTTAACTGCCTCTGTCACCTGAGCCACGGCTTCGCCGCCGAGCGCCAGCTGTTCCCGTCTCTTTCCGGCTGGCCCTGCCCAGCAGCCGGACACCGAGCTGTGACACCGAGCCGTGACACTTCGCCATCTGGGCCTCATCTCCGCCTGGGCTTTGTGTGTCTCCGTGGCCAGGTTTAAGGGAACTCAAGACTGCCTGCACACCATGGCCAGGCTCCCCATGGCTCCTTGGGCACCCACGCCAGTGTCCCACCACCGCCTCCGCCAACAGCCCCGCGTATTCCCACATGTTCCAGCGGAGTCTCCCGCGTTCCCTCCGTGCCCACCCCAGCCGCACACAGCGGCTGCGGCCCCGCTGGAGAATCCCACCCGGAGCCCAGCTCCTGCCCCGGGTTTCTACAGGAGCGGAGCGAGGCGAGGCCGTGCCAGGCCGGCACCCCCGCACGGCTCCCCAGGGCCAGCCACACGCACCGAGCTTAGAGCACATCACTAGCAGGTTATATAATACGTGATCATCTGTAATATACGTATTATATTTATAAGTAATAAAACAATCAACCAGGAGGGGTTTCCCCCCTCCGGCCCCTCGGGGGTGCCCCCGATGGCGGGTCCCGGCTGCCGCGGGCGGTGCCCACCTGAAGACGCGGAGCAGGAGGCAGGCGATGAGCGCGGCCGTGAGCGCGCAGGCCCCGATGACGGCGGCTTTGAGCGCGGAGAGGTCGCGAAGCATCGCGGGCACGGGGCTCAGCCGGGCCCCGCTGTGGTTGCCGGGGCCCGGCGCGGCGGGCGGGCGGCTGCCGTTGCCCGCCGGCGGCTCCAGGCTGCCGCGGGCGGCGGGCGCGGCGGGCAGGAGCAGCGGCAGCAGCAGCGAGGCCGCGAGCAGCGGCAGCGGGGCGGCGGCGGAGCGCATCCTGCCCGCTCCGGCTGCCCCGGCTCCGGCCGCGCTGCACCGAGCCCCGGAAGGCAGCGCCGGCCGGCCTGGCCCGGCCCCCGCCCCCCGAGAGGCGCCGCCTCCCGCCGCAGCCGCCGCCGGGGCCCCGCGGCCGGGCACAGCCGGGGCCGGGCCGGGGCCTCCGCGGACTCCGCTCCCGGAGCTTCCCGCGGCGTCGGCGCTGCCTCGGGCCCCGCTGCTGCCGGGGCCGGCGCTGCTCTCTCGCTCAGCACGAACAGCTCTTCTCAGAGAGGATCCAAGGGGAATGCGATGGTGGGGAAGGGTCTGGAGGGGCCATACGAGGGCACAACCACTCCAGGTTGTTCAGCCTGGAGGAGAGTGATATAAACAGAGGAGAGTGAAGACAGAGCTCACCGCGGGCTGCAGCTTCTCCGGAGGGGCAGCTCCGATCTCTGCTCTGTGTGACCAGAGACAGGACCCGAGTGAACGCTGAAACTGGGTCCCGGGAGGCTTAGGATGGATATTGGGAAAAGGTTCTTCACCCAGAGGGTGGTGAGCCCTGGAACAAGCTGCCCAGAGAAGGGATCACAGCACCGAGCCTGACAGAGCTCAAGCAGCATTTGGACAACAGTCTCAGGCACAGGGTGGGACAGTTTGCATCTCCTGTGCAGTACCGGGAGTTGGAGTTCGATGATCATAGCGGGTCCCCTCCACACAATTCTCTATTTCTGTGATTCTGTGGCCACTTTTAATTACAACACACAACACGGGTCCAGCTGCAAAACAATCACAGGGTTCATGCTGCCATCAAAGGGGGCACAGACCTCCCGAGCTGCTGGGTCAGCACGGCCCAGCTGCTACATCAAACAATTCCTACATCAGATTTATGTCTTTTTGCCTTTTCGCTGATCACCAGGGCTCTGCTTCCAGGGTAATGTATTTACAGATCTTTCACATCTTTAAAAATGTAAGATGTGAGAAAATCTCAGCCATCTTCTGCAAACCATCCTGGGGCACTGAGCATGTGAGTGGTACCATCAGCCAAGCCAGGCAGGGAGCATAAATCATAGAATTATAGGAATCACAGAACATCCTGGGCTGGAAGGGAATCACAAGGATCACCCAACTCCTGGTCCTTCAGAGGACAGCCCCCAAAATCCCACCTGGTGCCTGAGAATGTTGTCCAAATGCTGCTGGAACTCTGTCAGGCTCGGTGCTGTGACCACTGCCCTGTTCCAGTGATCAACCACCCTTCTCTAGATCCTCCACCATCTTCATAACCCTCCTTTGAACACTCTCTAATATCTAATAAAGATATCTAAAATATCTTTAAATATCTAAAATTCTAAATATGTAAAATTCTATCTAAAATATCTAAAGTTTCTTTAAATATCTATATTAATAAAACACTCTCTAATACCTAATAAAGGCTTTATGTCCTTCTTGTGTTGTAGCACCCAAAACTGCAGACAGTGTGCGAGGTGAGGAGTAAATGAGGGAGCAAAGTGCCTGTGCCATAATACAGCCAAAAACAACTTTTGCTTTCAGTCTTCAGTATTAGCAAGAGCTTCATTGCTGCTAAATAATTGTACGTGGAGAGAAGGGCATGTAGGCACTGAAATTATGTGAAACAAAGGGGAAAGATGAAAGAGCTGATTTCTGTCCTATTAAGCTCTGCATTTCACGGCTGGCAGGGCAGGGTATGATCGATATTATATGTGTGGCTAAGCTGTGCAGGAGATGACAGAGGTGTGTTTCTGCAGGCAGTGTCCCCCCAGAGAGGTGGCAGTGGAATAATGCCTGGTTCATTGGCCTCCCCAGCCAATTGGGATGCTGTATCAAATGCCACCCACTCGGTAATAAAAGCATCCTGTGTGTTTTGCAGGAAATTCTTTGCATGAGGAAATTTTGACATGGACACTGTGCAGAAGGCCCCCTAGACCGTCTGAATTGGGCATTGTTCCGAGTTTATTTCATTGCTGACTTTTGTGCAGTTTCCCAGTTTCCAACATGGGGCCTTGGTTTATTTCTGTTCAGAAAAAAAAAATAAAATAAATAAATCAGTAAAAATTCCATCTGGGCAGGAGGTCAAATTGGTGGTGTGGGCTATTTCCCAAACACTGGTGTGAGCGCTGCTCACATGAGTTATCATTTGTAAACACTGACCCTGTTGCTGGCCCTGCCTGTTCTGTTTGCCAGCTGCTGCCCAGCCTCTGGCAGATCCCTCTGGCATTCATCCTGGCAGAGCAGGAGGGGGAAGATGAGGATGAGGGAAGATGTGTAAAGGACTTCCAAAACAAGAACCACCTCCTGCAGTTTGAGTGAATATATCGGAGGTGAAGAGCCATTAACAACACGATTTTGGAGAGCCTAATTTGTTTCAAGTGGCTTCATGATTTCTTGTTTTGGTTTGGCTTTCTTTGTAGGTTTATTTTTTTTTCTCCTCAGATCTTGACTGATATTTCCCATGTCATTTGCCTAATTTGGGAATCATTCCTGGGTCTCGGTCTGGAATGTGGGATTTCGCAACTCTGTTCTTCAATGACATCATGTGGTTTGTTCTGAACACAGCAGTAATAAATGAGAGCAAGGGGAACTTACCAGCCCTTCTATAATAAACATTTTATCTGAACTGTGATCTTTTGGGGATCTGAAATAATTTGTGGGGTTTAGATTTTACCTAGTAAGTCATGTTTTCCATGTATGTAGGACAAAGAGTCCCACTTGGATAACAAGGAAGGATTTTGGTTTCATCTCCCCCTTAGCAGTGGTGGCTGTGAAAGCCAGAGCTCCCGAGAGCTTTGGTAGAAGAACACGACTTTGAGAAATCAAGAGGAAGTTCAGACAGTAAAAAATGCAGAAAGTATTTGGTTTCCCCTCTGATGAAGCTTGTGTTTCATTCCTGACACAAACACACTCCTGGAGGAGAAGGCTCTGCGGGTTGCAGGGCTGGGAGTTGGTGTAGCTTTTCTCCCTGCTGAGTTTTCTTCCCATTTACACCTGCTCGGTGTCATTACAAGTTGGAGCTCTCAGTAGCAATTGCACTTTCTGTAGAAGAGTCTGTGCTGGCTAAATAGAAGGAGTGAGCATTTCTGTATGCAATTGCTTCTGGGAATGGCAGATTTCTGTATTTATGGATGCCTGATACAGGAGCAGCCCTGTTTGTGGGGAAGGCTCTTCATGCACTGCTTAGCAATGCATACGAAGCTCGGGCTGTCCCTTTCTTTGTGCTCTCAGATGGCCTCCAGGCAGCACCCAGATGTATTTTTAGCTCTCAGAATAGGGGGAAATTTGCAAGAAATTGTGCAGAGAAGAAATAAGCAAAGGAGTGGAAGCTTGCTCAGTCGTCAGATTTGGGCAGGCTGGATTTGCAGGAATAAATAAGTGTTACTGTGAGAGAAATGAAATGTGTGCAAAATGAGGCAAACTACATTCCCAAGGATTTGCTGCAGAAGTAATACACCTTCTGGAAAAGACCAGGGTCCAGTAAGGAAGGAAATAAAATGGAGCTGGTAAGATACCTGTGCTCCATGAGCCACCTCTGACATCTCAAACCCAAAAAAGCCAGGCTACCAGCAGAGATATAAATTCAAGGAGCAATCATCTCTCCATCAGAGAGAGTGCTTGAGCTTGGATGTCAGACAAGAGAGCACAGGGTAATTGCAAGATTTAATCATTCTTCCAGTGACTGTTTCTAGATAACCTCAACCAGCAGTGCAGTAAAACTGCAATGCCTCATCTATCACGAGTGGTCCAAGGGCTGCAAATATGTCCTATTGCTAAGTGAATAGGTAGAGCAGTGGTGTAGAGCAAGCAGGAGCTTCAGATATACTTGGACAAGTCTTTGCACATTCCTAGTTAGCACATTACATTAGCCTGTTATTTCTATAACCCTCTAAAACATTTATGGCTTTTTGCAGACATTAAAAGCCAGTGTTACTGCTGCAAAAGGCTTGTAATTTAAGTCTGTGATAAGCAGCAGATTCCTTTTAAACGAGGTTGGTGCAGTCATTAAGCTGGGGTGCAGAGATTATCTCTTGAGCAGGTTCTACAATATTGCTAATACACAGAATGTTGCAGTGCAGCAGTTAATCTAAAGAAAACAGGGAAAGGAAGGACAGCAATAAACCACAAATCTTTGTTTAGTTTGGATAACAATAATCAAAGAACACAAAAGCCGATTATGACTTTGCCTCCCACTGCTTCACTGCCTATTCATGCAGTCTGTCCTGGCTGGCCTGCTGAAGTGCAACCTGAAGGAAACTGACAAATAATTCAAGCCTTCTTTTTTTCTTTTGTCTTTTTTTTTTTTTTTTTTTAAGATAACTTCCAAATGATGTCCTTAGACTGGTTTTCTTCATTTCAGCTGCATGGAATAAACTTGTCAGGGCGGTAGTGGCTAATCTTGCAGCCTCAGATATGGTTTTAGAGGTTCATTGATGATGTTAAAGTGATTGCCAAGTAGCAGGACTCCATCCAGAATTGCCAGTGACCAGGATATGGAATAAACAGAATTGGATTTAACCTCTACACTATCTCCCAGTGCAGCTGAACCATCGTCAGACATGCACTTATTTTGCCATTGCAGGAAAATCAGTCAGACCGGCTCAAAGGGGAAATATCTGTGCTGTGATAGTGCTTCTCATCCATCAGAACCTACTTACCCACGTCTCAGAAGTCTGCTCTGGCAGAAGAAGCAGGGAATCCAGCTGAGCCCTTGCAGGATGCTGCTCTAACACGTGGTGGCCACTGCTGCTGTGAGAGCAGCCCTCAGCAGCACTCATCTCTCTGGAGAGTGCAGCCAGGCTCCAGAAGGGCTGCAGGGCACAGAGGGGCCCTGTCACTCTCGTGTCCATCCCACATGGAGCCCCTCACCCTGGCAGTGCCTCTGGAGAGGGGATCACACTCCCTGTCCCACACTGTGCTGTGATTTGGAGCTGCTCAGTGCTCTTCTGTAAATCATGAACCACCCCAAAGGGCTACAGAAGAGGGAGTTGTTGGGAGTCACATCTGGCCAA